CAGCTGGCTACCTGTCCTTCCCGACGGTCCTCTTGGCACGTTCGTGGAAAACCTCGGACCAGGGCAAGTGGTCGGGCGGCAAGTGCTCGCAAGTCCATTGCTGGGAGAGATACAAGTTGGTATAATGGCCGGGCGTTCGGGAATCGATGTAGAAATTATTAGAGCGAAGAATCTTGTGATCAAGCCTGGCGTCAAAATGAGTCCAGGTCAGTTTTCAAGTAGCCTCTAGTGAATGCGAGATACGAATAGTACAGTGTGTCTTGATCGGGGTTGGTCTATCATCATGATGTGCGTTCCTAACCGGCTCAGTCTGTCCTTTACCAATTCTTTACGATCTCTGACTAATAAAAATGCAACTGCTGCCGCCCACATAACTGCCAACCGCTGCGTTGCCATCGCCCATTCCATTCAAATGTTTTGCGGATTCCAAGCTTCGGACTGATTCCGATCGGGATGAACTGTACAAAAATTGGTTGCTGGGCTAGTCAGCTCACGGAACTATCTGGCCCCGCATTTCTCAAGCAATAACTTTCAGCCCCTTACGTCAAAGTGTACTTGATGGAAGGGAAAATGTGCGTGGCGAAGGCGAAGACGAATCCAGTCAGGAAAACTACTGCTCCACTCTTCCAGCAGCACTTGATATTTAACGATAGTCCAAAGCGAAAAATGCTGCAGGTACGCGTATAAACAAACCCCGCTGCTTGCTCGCTGTCTACTGTTACTTGTTTCAGATCACTGTACTCGGTGATTACGGAAGAATGGAGAGGAAAACATTTATGGGTATTGCCTTGATTCGGTTAGATGACCTACGTTTGGGCTCAGAACCGGTGATCGGATGGTACAAACTCTATCATAGTTCATCGCTGGCTGGAACGGGCCCTGTGCGAAAGGACTCGGAAACATCATTAGCTGGACCAAACATGTTACATTACTAAAGCACATGAATGGTGTAATTAGGAATTATGATCTCTGTATCTTTGATCCTCGCTAAATGAAATTTTTCCTTGAGTTGGTGTTGAAATAAGAACTCGAAAGTGGGAGAGCATAGCAGACAACGAAATTTGAGCCAAAGAAGCCGTGGTCTCGTTGCTGTCACACCTCACAATAGAAGCTCGAGTGTAAGATTTTGAAACCTAAGCTTTCTGAGCGCTTAGCACCTCTTTGATCCAGCTTTATCTTAGAAAAAATCTGCTTATGCTGTTTAGAGTACTGCCTTGAGAGCGCATGAAAAATCATTTAAAAAACCCCTAAAAGCAGTTACTTTATCTTATCAGGCAAAGTGTCTGCGTCATATCATTTTAAGTTACTACGTTTTCTAAAACAACGAAAAGAACAAATTTGTTATTGTTTGCAGAGCATTTTACTGCGCAGCCTAGTCAAGCTCGGCATTTACAAAAAAATACCTGGAATTACTCACAAAAACGATGGAATGGTTGGAGTTTTCTTTATTTGTCCCCTAGTTGTACTGATGTCCCAGCTGTGGTCTTAAAAATCATTTTCAATGAGGGGAGGGCCGCTCTTAACAAGTTTGGAGAGCTAGCCAGGTTGTTTAGCTTCC